ATATATTGTGGGTAAGATGCATCAGTGTAAATCATTCCAAACAAAACAGTGAAAAAGCAGGAGTTAAAGACAAAACATATTCAATCAGGATATGCTGACATCCATGACATATTCTTGAATTATTCATTTCAAAAAGCTGGTGGTGAGTTTGACCTAGAGCACAACAAACCACCTATACAATATTTTAAAGAAGATAAATTTTCGAATTTATTTAAAGACTGACAAAGTTATCTCAGAGGAAAAGACAAAAGCATTATTTCAGAAGTCTCAGTATTAGATGGGATTTTATCAATAAACCACCAAGAAAGGAACTTAACAGTCCACTGATGCCAAGTTTCACTTGAGAATATTCTGTAATAAGCAGAAGATGGAAACAATATACTAGGCAGGGTCAAGCTAACTGAGAGTAAGAACTGCTAACAGAGAGATCACCCTAGGGGATTAATTATCAATATGAAAAGTCCTCAGAGCTCACTAACTTCTCCCTTCTCTCCCCAGGAAGGCTGGCACAGCTGACTGCGCTACGGGCAGCGCTGCCAGCACAGACACATGGTGCCCAGTGCTGAGCGGGGACCGGCACAGGGGACTCACTCAGATCCACCAGGGACCTCGACCACGGACCACATTAGGGGACTCACTCAGATCCACCAGGGACCTCTGGACCACGGACCATATGGACCTGCTCTTCAGAACATAACTCCAAATGATGGTAAAGCGTTTAGGTCAAGTGAATCCCCTTGCATAGCAGGTGCTTTTGAAAACAAATCTTATGTTTCTTAAGGTTGTATCTAACTGATAGTAATAACAACAATGGTCCTTTCTTAAATTAATCCTACTTTATTACTGTTTTGGTAGGGGATTTTAAGTAGTAATTTGATGGTGACATTACCTCTTCTTTAGAAAGCATTTTGTGTTCCCAAATTAACTTCGCTAGTAGGATTTTGCAGCTTGTAAAGAACCCCTCTATTATCTTCTGTTCTCCTACGACCACGGACCACATTGACCTGCTCTTCAGAACATAACTCCAAATGATTGTAAAGCGTTTAGGTCAAGTGAATCCCCTTGCATAGCAGGTGCTTTTGAAAACAAATCTTATGTTTCTTAAGGTTGTATCTAACTGATACTAATAACAACAATGGTCCTTTCTTAAATTAATCCTACTTTATTACTGTTTTGGTAGGGGATTTTAAGTAGTAATTTGATGGTGACATTACCTCTTCTTTAGAAAGCATTTTGTGTTCCCAAATTAACTTCGCTAGTAGGATTTTGCAGCTTGTAACTTCTCCTGTCTTTAATATCTTCTGTTCTCCTACCCTCAGTGCTTCCATTTCCGTGGAAGACCTTTTGCCAGTACCGTTCAAATGGCTACCATCTGCAATTAGATAGGATCTGAGCAGCACAGGCCTTCTGCCAAAATCCCAGCCCCTTAATGCAGTCAGCACATGTGACTTCAGCTGGACTGCAGGATTTCATTTTTGGAACAGATATTTTAAAAACATAAAGACTGACAATTCTTTAAGTGCAAGATATTGTATTACTGGAGATCAATACCTCTGCAGCCATAAAGGGGAAAAAAAAATAATCTAGTCTTGTCATCTTAGTACACTAGACCAAAAACAAACAAACAAACAAAAAAAAGAGACAAACAATATGTTCCAAGGACTGATTTCAAAATTCCAATATTTTGCATCCTTCCAACAGAAAAACAGGAGTCCTAATTACTCATAGTAAGTGCTCTTGACATTGTGGGTTAAAGACCTTTGTAAGAACTCTCTTATTCTGAGACTAAGACATATATAGAACTCTATTCAGCTACATTTTTTAACGGCTGAGAAATGATAAAGCTGGAGATCTACTAGGATCTTGTTTAAAGGCCTTGACCTTCTACAAGGAAATCACATAAAAGCCAGAAAAAGTAACAAGTTAATTCTGTTGGAGACTCAAGTCTACAACAAATTTACACTTGTTTTGCTTCTAATGCAAAGTTAAACCATGTAACAAAATTGAGAATAAGTTTTCTAGCCCAGGAGGATTTTCAGTTTTGCTGGCAAGCCCACCCTCAATGATGGGCACTCCCACAAGCTGTAAACCCCCAAGTTCACACAAAAACTGACAAACAAAAGCAGCAAGTCAGGCAACAACCCCAGTGGCATTCCAACTTGAAGAATATACTTCATTATGGATGTCAGAAGACACTCTTTTTTCATAAATTCATTTAAAAAAAACAGAAATTGAGTAGACCCGTGATACACTTCATTATCTACAACTCCAGACTTTCCCTTAAAATAATCCTAACCACTTCCCCTCAGTTTCACTATAACATACTCTCTACCTACATCAGCCAATACCTTTACAAAGCTCAGACTCTGACAAAGTTTAAATTCAGGACCCACAAAGAGTTCATAGAAAACATTGGCGAATAAATATATATATATAAAGAATCAAAGTTCAAGCAGCAGTCAAAACCCCTTGTTAGCGATCAGACTTCACACTGTCCCATCAGTCCTGTTCATCACAATAGTCCATTAGGCTTTAATTCCAAGATAAGGGAACTGTAACTGTCTAGGAGGCTTAAAATAGTCACTACCCAACATATCACCGGCCTCTCAGATTTGCCTCCTGTCAACTTGATTAGCGAACAAACGAAAAAATAACCTTCTTACAGGCAAAATATCTAAGCTTTGGTTATTTCATTAGCACGTGGAGGTATGAAGCAGGAACTCCATAGGCAAGAATTACTACTGAATTCCCTTTATTTTGAAATTGCTAGAGATAGGAGATTCATGAGAGTCAGATCGGTTGTCACTTTCTGTAGTCAGCTTTGAGCCAACAAATTCAGACCTTAATAATAAGGAGTTAAATAATGTAACTGTGAGGCTGCAAAGACTGAGGGATCATGAAAAAGAAAGAATCTTTGGCAGAAATAGCAACAGTACTTATGCCCCCAAATCTAAAACATAGCCTAAAAGCATACCAGAAGAATTTCAGCTTGAAGTTATGTGCATCAGACAACTTTGTTAGGAAGATTATCTGGAGAAAATATTTCTGCTCAGGTTTTTCCCCCCATCAAACAATGCCTTACTCTTATCTTTTATTATATGATCCTCTTCTGTTCAACGAGTAAAATTACTCCCCTGCCTACTGCTTTCTTCTGCATTTCTCCTCAAAGAGGGAAGTACAGAAAAAAAAAAAAAAAGCAGCCCATAGATTGTAAGAATGTGTAACTATTGCAACTGATGCCTTTCCCACAGCCTGTAATGGCCCCTGATGACTTAAACCTGACCATCTGTCACATCACCCATTTTGTAGCAGAGCCATAGGACTCAAACAGAAGGCTACACATTAGAACACTTCCAGAACAAAAAAATATAGCAAAAGCTGTAAAGAAATTTCCAACTAGATAAATCAGGAAGTATTGTTCTCCTTTTGAAATCTGATGCAGTTTCTTGAAAATGTAAGTGTCTTTGTAGTGCAGCTCTAGTGCTCAGAACCAGAACCAGTGTCTTTTGTCTACACCACATTTCAAACTTAACAGACAGATTGCCAGAGATTCACTGGTCACAGTCATCATGGTACCACAAACAAGCTGTTTCCACTGGCTCCTAGAGTTCAAAAACGTTAAGTGTCTAGAATTGTTGTTGCCATGTCATGCAAACAGACAGATTGCCAGAGATTCACTGGTCACAGTCATCATGGTACCACAAACAAGCTGTTTCCACTGGCTCCTAGAGTTCAAAAATCTGAAGTGTCTAGAATTGTTGTTGCTGTGTCACAACAGCAGCAAGAACACCCATTACAGAGGCAGCCAGTGGTGCTGCTGTAGTTCAGAGCATGGTGACAGTTCCGTAAGAAAGGCCATCTAATGGAGTTTCTAATTCTTCCACCACCTACACTGCACCTCTAAGTTAGCAGGCAACATTGGGATACAACTTTTAAACTTCCCTCCCCCCATTTTAAATGTAAATTTTTAAATCCAACCAAAAAAACCCAAGTTTCTTCAGGTAATATTCCACAAAAGGTCTGAAGATAAGAACTTAGCACACTGAAAAGCAAGATCTCTTATATATGATGCCTCTCTTCCAACGAAACCAGAAACACTGTACATAATTTAAGCAACCACAATTAGGACAAATTCCATTGCAGAAGGAGGCTGAAGTACAACCTCGGCAAATAAAAAGAAGGAGCCTGTATGCAACCTCCTTTGTATTAACAAGCATGAGGAAATACTCATGTCATCAGACAGCAAAGAACTCGGAGCTCCTGGAGTGTTACTTCCTACAGCTATAGACAAGACGACTCTACTGCATTATCTCATCATGAAAAGCTGCTACAAAAGCAGCAGTTTATAGGTAGAGCCATTAGTCTACACATGGCCAACAACACTGCAGCAAATGGTAGCAATATTGCCTTGACCTTAAAAAGCACGAAATTAAAAAATAAAAATAAAAAAATCAATAAATGGCATGCCCACACTCCCTTTCACATAGAAGAGTCTTCTTCAAATTAGACCCACAATAATTATTTAAAAAATAAAATTACTGTAATCTGCTATTTTGCCATCGTTTAGACATCTAATCTCAAAAGCATAAAATTTGACATCCCTTTCCCCTTAGCTTTCTCACTCAAATTATGCTGCTAAGCAAAGGCACAGACTGCAGAATAAGCACACGCTGCGTAATATTCCCCCACACGGAAGTTAACAAAAAGGTTTTCACTTTGGTATTCTAATCTTTCTGTAGAATTCTCAACTCGCCACAAGCAAACACCACAAACAACCCCATCAAAATCAAGATACTCATGTTGCAGAGTTTCTAGTCAAATTGGGAGCCAATCTAGTTTGTAATAACAGCCTCAGAAAAGAATATTCCCTAAAAGAGCAATTGTAGATGATATAACATACATAGTACTCAGTGCAGTCTGAGAGAAAAAAAAAAAAAGAGGATTAAGCAGGAAGGGGGAGGAGAGAGAAAGACTCCTTTACAAGATTAAAATAAACTTACTGGTTGAATTGCCTTGCATCTGGATGATACATTTGGATTCTTTGCTGGTTTCTCGGGAATTGAAGGGCCGGACCCGAACAGCCACCTTCACTGAAGCCCCCGACATTCTGGTTGCTTGTAGTGCAGTCAAGAAATTGAAAGTGAAAGGGGGTCAACAGTGTTTCAAGTTATCCTTCTTGGTGTTTTCTAAAGAAAAAAAATATAATTCAGTTATTTACAGTTATTGCATGCAAAATGTCGATAACATTAGGGAGGTTGAAAGTTGTTTGATAACTCCAATTTCTGCTCCACAATCACCCTTTCCCTCTAAAAGCTGTCACTGCAAAGAGGGAACTGGAAATACACTTAACAGCACCTGGACACAGCCTTCCCAGTCAAAAGTTCCTGTCATCCGCAGGAGCTCTTTTGAAGCGTACATATTTGTTTTCATTACTTGGTTTTCTTCCCAGAAAGTAGGGATGCCAACTCCAAAATGAAGATCTGGTTGCAACATGTGTTAGGCTCAACCTTACAAAGACAATTTTAGCAGTAAAGATACAGCTACTTAGATTTCAGCATGTATGTAGCTTCCATGCACTATATATCTAGGTTCTGTAGCTGTCAACCACTCCTGCCATATTGAAACTAACACAAGTGTCATGGGCTATATCCCACTGACTTTCAATATTCAGCATTCCAGAGAAAAGTGCATACCAACCAACCTCAAAGAACCCTCTGCAGCCCTGGGAAAGTCCTCTTCCCAAAGGAAAGAAAAACTCGTTAACTACTTGTATATCTAGTGATTAAAGGACACACTATAAGGAAGAAGAGGAATCAAAAACTATTGCCCTCAGGTTAAATGTTACTATCTATCTTCAGCAAATGTTCACCAGTAAATTTATCTTCATTATCAAAATACTTGTTAAGATTCTACCGCATCCAAAGGATGGAGCACCTGAGTTGGCAGGAAACCACCCCGTTAGCCATAAGCCAAACTTCAAGGCACGTCTGGGACAGTATTGAAATGTAGGCTTAATAAAGACTGGTTCGATTGGATTCTCCTTGACCAGCCTTTTCCATTAGAAGAAAGTTTTTCAGTCAGTCTACAATTAAGCAGTTTAACTTCTTGCCACAGGACACTGTCAGTACTGAAGTTAAACAGACTCAACAAGCAATAATACAGATTCAAAGAAAAAGCCATCAAGGTCTAGTAAGAAGCTACCACCCTTGGCTAGGAAACCTCCATGGTGCAGACTCTCAGAACCTGGAAGACTATACTGAGAAAACATGATTACATGGTGGACTTATCTTTATATTCTAAATACCCACTATAGCCACTGCTGAAGACAGGATTCAGGGCCTATACTGAGAAAACATGATTACATGGTGGATTTATCTTTATATTCTAAATACCCACTATGGCCACTGCTGAAGACAGGATTCAGGTGAATCTTTGGTCTGATTCAATGCAGACATTTCTGGCTTGAATCTGAGTTACCACAGGCAGAACTGTACCCTGCACAAGTCACCAGGCGGGCCCAGAAATCTCAGCATCATCTTTTCTGGTTATCTATAAACCACACGGCCAATGAACTGCTCATTTGAGGGTTGTAATCAGAAAGCCACAAAAGCACAAAACTTACTGGCACATCTAAAGCAGAAGCATTTCAGCTCTAAAGTAAGTTCTGCAGCTGGTAAAAATACGTGCTTAATTCAAATTATGACACATCTTCACACAGTACAACAAGTTTTTAATAAAACTGCATTACTTCATTAATGCCATCACGTGGTGAAGGCAGAAATTAAATTACTCCACCAAGTAGAAGAAGTAATTTAAAGCATTCCTTATTTTAGCAGGTACCTGAGGTATCTGACCAGTCTAGACGAATAAGAAAGTCTTTAGAAACAAGCCAACTGAATTTCAATGTCAGTGGTACAGCAAACTGGTAGAATAATGACTCATGAGTCAACCACACACTCAGCTTTAGGTTAGTACAGAATTTTAAGAAGTTTCACTAAAAACTTAAACATAGAATAGAGCAAAGAAGTAATGTGAATAAATTCACATGATCTTCAAAGTTTAATGGAGATTCTGGGTTGTTGCAGAGGACGACTATTCACTTTTGCTCAGAGGTGCCTACTTTTTCATGTAACAAAGTGTATCAAATATGGAGCTTCATTATAACCTTCTTCCCCAGTATCTGCTGGGTGGGATTTTTGCTCTCCCTCCTTAAGGTGACCCTTGTGTAAGTACCTGTGCCCTCCCACGAGAGCCAGGAGACAACGCTAATCCTGATACAACCCAGCAGTATCATTCAACTGACCCTGAACCTCACTGCTAGAAAACAGGAATGGCCCTGTACACAACCAGTAAGCACTCAATTTCTGAAATGTGATTTAAGAAATCTATCAAGTGCAAAATCTCTGCTATTATCAAGTTCACAGTGACACAGTTTACTGTGTCAGACTGCAGCAAAAGACGCGTAGGTGGAATTTTCATAGGGTGTAACACAGCACTGAAACTCTACTTGACATCACATTAATGGTTCTCATCTTTCTTTTCCCCGACTATCCATATTAATGTGAAAACCATAATTTTGTCAACTTCCCACAAGGGTGAATGAATAAACATAAGGCCATTAGTCAAGAGGATTTTAGGAAAAAAAAAAAAAAAGAAAAGAAAAAAACCCAAACAAAACAAAAATATAACCAATGTGTTCTTATAATTTTATTTATGAAATGTAGGGAACTTATTTTCCCTTCTTACTGAAGAGTCCCACAAGCAAAGGTTTTTTTCCTCATGGTTTCATAGAAACAGCTCTCAGAGCACTACATTAATTTCTAAAGATAACTAGGATATATAGGAAAGTGGCAAAAATAAGATAGAGTGAAAGAATCATCTACTTTTAAAAAAAATAACTCTTGAGTATCTCTGAACATCATATTCACAACAAGAAAGCATGAAAAGCACCCCGCCAGAGACTCCATATGCACTAGGCAAATAATAGCCTTGTTTGAAACACAGCCATGAAGAAATTCTTACAGAACAGGTCACAAAATCACCTACAACAGCATAAAAATTTAACTACTAGACTTCTTCAATTACCAACTTTTCCCAGCCCTAACTTTTATGCCCACAGACAATTAAATGCTGTGTAATTCATTCATTCTCAACTCTACTACTTTTCAGAGCTGAAGCAAAATGCCTCCTTGTAGTTGCACATGACTTCAGATGGTTTCAACACCATCCCTCTATGCAAGATTTAATTTTCATTAAGAAAAAAAATTAACTAAAAACTATGTATTTTTCCAAGCTTCCCATAACTTGAGGTTGCTGGGGTTTTGAGGGCTCTTTTGCACTTAGTAGCAACTTTAAGTGGTTGTAACAGTTCCTGAAGGAGGTATTGCCTTCATCACACCGAAGGATAAGGCCAAGCGATACCAAGTTGCACAGCAGCACAGATAACAAATTGCAACTGGTTTTTCTGGGTTCACATACCCCAGTAGTATCGCTTACTACTACAAAACCCTGCCTACAGAGCGGGAACAGGAGAAGTAACTTGCAACAGAACAAAACAAAATGTGCTATAGAGTCTGTGGTACAGATTTAGAACAATCTTTTTTAAAAAGAAGCTGTCTTTTCTATGTTCATTATAGGCTTAGACGGCTGCCAGCCATGCTAGAGTGAATCATTCTCCTAACGTCTTGGAAAAAATCTAAGAGCTGTGTATCTTTTAACGTTCTCTGTATTAATCCAATCAGGAACCGAGGAAAGAAGGGACCTGCATTCCTGTGTCTTTGACACGATACACCAATGGCTCTAAAACAGGTGGTAGATAATATTTGAGTTGTTTATTGAGCTCCATCAGCACAAAAGTAAACCCTACATATTAATTTTACACTTATTTTAAACTATTATTAAAAGATATCCACCCTGTAAGTTACACGGTGAGGTCTTAATATTAAAGTGTGTCATTAAACAAATCATCTAAATACCTCATCTGTTTTCAGTTATTTAAGCCGACAAACCCAGAGATGTTGGTCAATCACCAACATCTCTCAGCTCTTGTAACTAGACTTTCACACAAATGTTTAAAGAAACAAGCTGTTCATTAAGACTTGGATCCTTGGATGTATTTGAAAGTTCTGGCAAACCAGTTTGTATGCAATGTCAAAACACTGAACATGTTGCTATCTTTTGAAATCAAGTTACAGGCAGAGCAGGGATTTAGAGTAAAATTATTATTTACATATTCAGAGAAGTTTGCAACATGTTCAACGTGATTACAAAAACAACGTCCAGCATCTGTATCTCTACAGTCAAATAAAATGTAAATAGAATTTTGAAAAAAATTAAAACCCAGCACAGATCAGAATTGAAGAAGCATCAAATTTATTTAACATTGTGTCATATTTGCGTAAGTATAGAGAATGTGCTAACTTTTAAACAAAAAAAATTGCTTGTAACTTAATCAGTACAACAGCTCTAAAGAAAGAAAATGAACAAGGATAGAGATTAGTAGATGGAAAGTTCACAAAACAGCTGTTCAGGGCGGCAGGGGGTTATGAACAAGAAGACCACAGCGAATCCAAATTTAGGTCCTCTGCTAAGGATCAGGTAGTGATGACAGTCTGATATATCAGCTGCACTCACACGCTACCCACTGCTATCTTTGTCCTAAGTGAAGGTGCCAGATAAAACAGGGACACAGAACATGCCAATGTACGGAAAATCCAGTCATATAAACATATGGCTATTTATCAACATGCCAGTGTACTGGGTTGTGCAACAACAAAAAGAACTGGGCTAGGGAGGAGCTGGGAGCGAAGATAAATATACTTTAAAATTTGGTACGAATGTATTTTACATTTCAGAGAAGAGACTCAAACTCACCATCTGCTTTTTGGTGAATTCTAGTTTTCCAATCTCAGCTTAATACCCATATTCTGCCAATGACCCCAAAACTACCAGGCCTGTCATCCTGTCTCCTGCCGCCCGCCTCAGCTCAGAGGATTGTCAGATCATCATCCCAATATGGCTGCCCTGGCAATTGTGTTGTACTGAACCCAGGGACACATCCACCACCTACAAAAAAACACCCTCAAAACCACCATCCTTTTACATTCCTGCATCTTCCAGCTGGCTGGGGGGGCTATGCCTCCCTCCCCAACACGCAATCACCGTCTCCGCCTCATCCGAGCTAGAAATGAGGAAGAAAAAAAAAAAAAAGGACGGCGAAACGCGGCGATGTTCGCCACCGTCAGAGCGGACGGGATCCAGAGGAGGAAAAGGGGGGGAAGCGGCCGCACCGCCCCGGCTCGGAGCGCCCGGGGAAAGGGGAAGGAGGCGTCCCGGGGGACAAGTCTATGCATCGGGCAGATCGCCTCCCCCACCGCATTACGGCATCCACCCCGCCCGCCCGCTCCCCTCCCCGGCAAACCCCGGCTCCCTCAGGCGCGAGCCGCCCCTCACCTGAGGACGGACGGGCAGGACGCGGGCAGCGCGGGGGCCGCCGGCGCCGTCAGCAGCTGGGGGAGGCGGCGGGGCCGGGCAAACGGCGCAGCGCGGGGCGAAGGAGAGAGAAACCCCCGGCCATCCCCATCACGCTTCAGCCGAGGCTGGGAGAGAGCCCCCCCCCGCCGCCAGGAAGGAAGCGGGAAGGGCGAGGGAGGGAAGGGGGAAGGGAGGGCAGAGAAAGGCCGCGCCGGGAAGAAGGAGCGCAACGACGCGCTCCCCACAGCGCCGCTCCCACACTGACAGGATCGCGGGGCTCTGCGCCCGAACCCGCCTCCGCAGGGGGAGGAGCGCCCGGCCGGCCAATAGCTGCGCGTCGCTGCTCCCTCCTCCCTGCGCTCCACCAATCGCCAGGCGCAGAATCGCCGCGCGCCCGCCTCCCGCCGTGCCAATCACAAGGTGACACGGCCACGTACCAATCAGAGCCCGGGAATGCCCGTCCGCAGTGACGAGCCCCACTCCTCCCCTCTGAGTCAATCCCTCCGCCGAGCCTCGGGCACACAGGGAATCCGTTCTTCTCCACTCCCAGCCAATCAGAGCTCGGGACGGAATCCGCGTCCTCCCTGATTTAACCAATAACGAGCGGCGCGAGGACACCTCCGATCGCATCACCGCTCCGCTGCGCTGTGTGCGTCCGCGCCCCCTGAGGCGGGACCCTACGCGCCGGAGAGCGAGGGGTGTTGTTAGCGGAGACGTGAGGAGAAACTGGGCACTTGTGACTGAAAAAAGCCCTTTAATGTACGCGGCTGGCTGGCGGCCCCGGCGCGAGGGGCCCGGGAGCGGGGTAGGCGTGCCTGCCTGCCGGAAGGCGGTGGCTGAGGCAGCGGGTTCGCCAACTCCAGGGAGGTTTGGACGAGGCCTAACGGTGGTAGTTCTGAGGGGAGGGATTATTTTTCTCTTTCCCTCACTTCAAAAGGTTTTTTGTGCAGCCTAAGGCACATTTGTAGATCTCATAATGTGTTTTTATGTACATGATTAAATTGTTTTAGTTAATGGTGTTGTATTAGCTCTTGCACTTTCAATAATTTCACACGTATTCTAATAGTAAAAATTTATTTTTGTGGCAATAACTGCAGCTTTCATGTTCCCCGTTTCCATTAGTACTTTGTTCATTTCTAATGTTAGAAGGTATATTGAGATGAGATGTGGGGAAGAACTTCTTTGCTGTGAGGGTGGTGAGAGCCTGGCCCAGGTTGCCCAGAGAAGCTGTGGCTGCCCCATCCCTGGAGGGGTTCAAGGCCAGGTTGGAGGGGGCTTGGAGCAACCTGGTCTGGTGGGAGGTGTCCCTGCCCAGGGCAGGGGGGATTGGAACTGGATGGTCTTTAAGGTCCCTTCCCCACCCAAACCATTCTATGATTCTGTGTTAAAAATGTTTAAGCTTATAAGCATATTAAAGAAAATATAATTACATTAAATACCGTAATTACCTATTTTCCATACACACACCATCGTATATGGATTGGATTTAGGCTGTTGAGACCATTTGGGACCCAAGATTTCTAATTTCACAACAAGGTTTATATTTGTTCACAGGCCCCTGTCTGTTATTACATTAATCTTCACCATTTCTCTTGTGTTCCTCATCAGGTTTAGGATTTTGGGAGAATGAGGTATTTGTTACTTTCTGTTTGGTGAAAAGCGACTTTTCCCCCTCTGCAAACTTCATTGTGTGTGCATGTCATGTAGGAGTGCCCAACAACATGCAGCTGAATGGGGGTTTGTAGGGAAATACCGCTGCAGAACCAGCAAAGCAAGAATAGGTGGCTTTCATATATCGTAGAAAATGCCATTAATTCAACTTTGGAAGACTTCCTAATGATGGGATATATGATTTTGTGGTGTTTTTAGTGTGGTGCACCTGTGCTAGCTGCTATCTTGGGCCATAGAGAATTAGGTCAGTTATAATATCTCTGAAAAAAATAAACAAGATTAAAAAAATCCAAAAAACAAAACCTGTTTTGAAATCCTCTGCAAACCAATGGAATACGGGGTGTGCGCTGTAGTCCTCTGTGGTAATAGACCATGTGATTAATTTTACTTCAGCAAAGTTTGTGTCGTGTCTCTTAGGAACAGGAGCTCCTGCATCACTGTCTTATGTCTGAGTTCGGAGAGTCCTGGCATAAATAGCTCAAGTATGATGATAATTCAGCTGCTGGCTTACAGAGCCTTGAGAAACCTGCTGGAAGTGTTCAGAGAAGCCTAGTTACATGTTGGAAAAGCCCACGGTAAGAGGGACGGGACAGGGGCTGTGCAGTGTCTGGGAGGTCACTCACTGCAGGGGGAGATGAGGAAAACTCCGCTTTAAGTAGCTGAGTATGGAGTTGAAAGATGGTCATGTATTAAGGCAGTCCTCATCTAGCTGGTTGTGATGCCTTTTTAATTATAGGACTTGGCCATTTTATTTCAATTTAATTAGACTAGCCTTCTCAATATCATTTTTGAAAGTCAAGTCTCCTTGGGTAATTCAGAATTAGCTTAATAAAAAATGTACTTAAGTGGAATTCAATTTCGGTGTTCTACCTGTAAATCATGTCTAAAAAATTAGTGTCCATTCCCTTATGGGAACGGGACCATTCTTACTCTTTTTTTGTGCTTCTGACCAATCCCATACCACCCTGCAAAACAGCAGAAACAGATCCAATTCCCTGCAAGTGTGTGTGTTAGAATTCAGACATCCCTTTTCAAGAAAATATTCCCCTAACGAAGGTCCCCAGCACAAGAAAAGTGTTGTTGAGCATTATTCTAGCAGAAAAATGAAAGCAAGTAGTACTGTGAAAAATGTCTTGCATTTATTAATACAAATAAATAGAGCTGGCTGCTCCAGCACTGAGATCTGCTACCTAGAATTGGGAAGGCTGCTTAATTACAGGAAAGAGGGTAGTTTTAAGTTAAGTGATAACCAAAAGGAAGAGGGCAATGCTCCTGGGGATTGTTAGAGTCAATGTGTTGCTGGCTGAAGCAGCATTGTCACCCTGCTATTACCAGCATGAGGCTGCCCTTGCTGCCAGCAGGGAATAGTTGACAGAGATGTAAATTGTGCTCTTACATAAGTGTAAATTGTGATATAATAGAATCAATTGTACTGAATGGTATTGCTGTAACATCACAACTTGCCCTAGCAGTTTCTCTAGTCACATAGCTAGAGGGCAAGGAAAGACCGGCAATAAAATCTTGTAATTTCAGATTTTCCAAGAAAAGCACATTTTGCAATGTTTCTGTGAGTTTTAGCCATTCCTGGGCTGAGCAACTCCCAGCTCAGAGCTGTTCAGATCTGCAGCTGCGTGGAAATGTCAGAGGTAACTTGATCAACTGCTACTTTCTGTGATCTCTCACATGAGGTCTCTGTGCTGTAGTAAGCTCACGGCTGAACTGAAAAAGGTAAATGACATGTTATTTGGGGGGAATCACAAATAACTGCAGGTGGTATTAAATGAATTAAACTAAGAATATCACACAGCTGATATGCTTTTGTGGGGGATTTAATCCAATCCTAACTTCAGCTTTCCTTTTCAGTTACTCCAATGTCCACTCTCCACTGTGTTTTGATTCACTTTTGTACCCAGAAGACAGCAATATAATGGTACTTTCAGTTGCTTATATTAGAATATATTTCATTATTTTGCCCATGAATGCTGAATTTTGGGAGAGCGTTTGCCTGAATTCATACCTTTGATACTAGTTCTCTAGATAAAATTGTTTTACCCACTTAATGATAGCCTTCGTGTCTTCTGTAATATCTGCATTGACACATTTTCAAGTGGTAAATGGATCCCATAATTAGACAAAACAGTTCAGTAACGCACTCTGCTATTTATAGGCCCCAGGTCAAACTCTGATACGACGGCAGAATAAATATAAAATCAGATTCTGAAGGGCATTGTCTTAATACATCCTATACCAAATGTAAATACTTCTGTGTCTTCCTGTCAGATGGGGTTAAAAGAAACATCCTGAATGTGTTCAAACCTTTCAGTTGGTAGAGTGGAATAAATAAATGAAGGCTTTTCGTGTTACACTTGCATTAGAGAGAGTTAGTTCCATACAGATTTTCTGGTAAAACATTTCAAGTCCCAACCCTCTTTGCCACCAGCTGTAACACTCCAGATGTGAAATACTGGGAGCTATTAGAGAAGAGCAGCCCTCAAGCCCTGCACAGGATACACTCGGCTACGAGTCATTTAAGGGTGGATTATTTCTGCTTGCCCTCTTCTCCTTGTGTAAGGCTGCTCATTGCTTCCACAGCAGCCTTATTCACAAAAGGTGGCGATGTGTCTAATTTTTAATAGCTGAAGAAAATTGGAAGAAAGCATTTCTTCCATCTTTGCAACACCTTCCCAGTCTAGCAATAAAATTAACTTATAGAAAAAAAGCTGTGAAAACAAATAAGACACCATGTACAGGTGTCCTCCATCAAGTGAAGTATAAATTCTGGGATGTTTCTAGAGATTTCATGCTGTAATCCTTAAATATTCCACTGCCACCTCCTTATTAAGAGTTTTTCCTTTCTGTCGAAAATTATTCCTCTACTAAAAACACACTTTGGAAGTTATAGCTCAGAACTGTGCTCAGGAACCATGATGGACCTGGATGCTGAGTGACAGGTTGCAGACAAAAGCGTTGCAAACTTTGTTCTGTGACTTTTGAAGAGGGAATAAGAGAGGGATTTGAATTTGTGGAAGTGAAGGGTAAGGAACTAAACTCACTCAAACAACAAGTTTTTCTGTTTTCCCTAAGGGCAAGAGGAAGATTCCAAAGTTTGTGTCTGCACAGGACTGTTGGAACACACACACACATGCTGCAGGGGGGAACACCAAAAAAACCCCCAAATCCAGTAACCAAAAACACCCAAAACACTTCATCTTCGCACTTTAATTCAGAATTACTTGCACATCTGAAAGGTCAGTGCTGGATTATATATAACCTGAGTGAAATTCCTCTCAGAGCCTGTCACCAACTGTCCCGTAGCTATGAATAGGTACAAGAGTCACCCACTTGGGAACATTCATGAGGCTGAAGCATTACTGATAGCCCTGGGCACTGGGATTTTTCACATAATTTACTCAGTTATCTCCAGACCCTAAATTGTTATCAACAAACCTCACCAGAGTCACCCAAACCTTTGAATTTTTCATACTTTCACTGACACACTTAAAGGAAAGAAAGACACAGGAAACGTTTTGTGCGAGTGTGTATCATTTATTGTAGTTCAAGAGAGTCAGGAATTGAACAGAAGACACAGCGAAAAAACAAAAGAAAAACAACCTTTTTTTTTCAGACTTAATTTTAAAACACTGTGGTTTCAAATCCTTTTTAAAAAGGAAATTCAAGTATCATATGCAGGGGGCAGTAATACAAAAATGTTTGTGAATATTTTTTTTTATTCTTTTTTTTTTAAAAATGTAGTTCTACATTTCCTGCACCCTTTCTGCTTTGGTAAGGCCAAGCCATGGATACAAATTGGTACGCAACATAAAAAAAAAAATAAATGACCCCTGCCCCAAACTGCAGCCTCCAAGAATAAAAGGATCTGCTTTCGGCAGACAAGCTCGAATGGCTCAGAACTGTCATTTAGCATATATCTTATCTGCAGCATTAAAAGAATGGATTTTATTTTTTAAAAAGTCACTGAAATCCTGCTATTCCCAAGCATCTCATCCATGGCAGCTGTTTTGAAACATATTTCTATCTCAAGGCTTTTCACCAGAGTGTCTAGATCAACACAAAGGAAAGGGACATTTCAAAGAACTGAAATTAAAATCCATGAGTGAAGTCTTTGCTTTTTTCTGTTGTTTGAAATTATCCTTGTGTCTAACACCAATTAAAAACCAAATATGCAAGTATGTATAATATAAAAATACGATCCCGAGATTAACACTTTGTTGCAGGCACAGTTATCGCACAGAATGTGTTCTTTTGAGGGCAGGGGAATGATTTTGATTCACAGGGATATTTGTTTTTTGCATTACAAAAGAAAAAATAAAAAGAAAGAGACAGCAGTGCAGGATTGATGGGTGGAAGAGGAAGAAGGGAGGGAAAGAGGAAAAAAGTTACTTTAGCAGCAAAATGTCCAAGGTTCTAACCACAATCAAATTAACGGATATCTGGCTGTAAAAAATAAGGTTGAAGGGATGCTGCCCTGATCCATTCGTCTTCGCTAAAATAATTCAGCTGTAAAAACTCCAAAATGTGACATATTGAAGGACAGTTTTGTAACATAAGCAACTTCCTATCTTGTCCTCCGTGTTATTTGACCATCGTTATCACTTAAATATATGTACAAGAATTAAGCGGCTTTGCTCCTGGTGGCCATGCTCCTGGCGGGCACCGGCAGCGCCAACCCCCCACGGCTCCCCAGGGGAATCTGCTCCATCCCCAGAGCAGCCCAGCCCTGCTCTGCTGCTGGCCTGCACTGCAAGGCAATCTCCAATTAATGGTCAGCGTTCTGCTTGTCTCTCATCCAGGCTTGGATTTGCTCTTTGAGTTCTGGCACTAAGAGTGTGAAAAACAGAAAAAGAATGGTGAAGTTGGCAGTTAACATTATTTAGTAATGCTACTAGGGATTTGCTCTTTGAGTTCTGGCACTAAGAGGGTAAAGAGGAGAAAAAGAGAAAAAGAATGGTGAAGTTGGCGGTTAACGTTATTTAGTAATGGTACTAAAACAAAGCTCCTCATGACCAATAGCAGTTTCTTTTCTAGGAACCTGATCAGGAACATCTACTACTATTTGCTTCTCTATCGATATATTTGCTGCAAAGGTTTGAGTAAATGGCTCTTCAGCTGGAGAAGAGAAGGCTTCAGGGAGACCTTAGAGCCCCTTCCAGTACCTGAAGGGGGAAACAGGGGTACTAAAACAAAGCTCCTCATGACCAATAGCAGTTTCTTGTCTAGGAACCTGATCAGGAACATCTACTACTATTTGCTTCTCTATCGATATATTTGCTGCAAAGGTTTGAGTAAATGGCTCTTCAGCTGGAGAAGAGAAGGCTCCGGGGAGACCTTAGAGCCCCTTCCAGTACCTGAAGGGGGCTACAGGGGAGATTGGGAGGGACTCTGTCAGGGAGCGTAGTGACAGGACAAGGGGTAATGGTTTTAATTTGAAAGAGGGGAGATTTAGGTTAGCTACTAATGGTTTTAATTTGAAAGAGAGGAGATTTGGGTTAGCTACTAAAAAAAAATTCTTTGGTGTGAGGGTGGTGAGAGCCTGGCCCAGGTTGCCCAGAGAAGCTGTGGCTGCCCCATCCCTGGAGGGGTTCAAGGCCAGGTTGGAGGGGGCTTGGAGCAACCTGGTCTCGTGGGAGGTGTCCCTGCCCAGGGCAGGGGGGTTGGAACTGGATGATCTTTAAGGTCCCTTCCAACTCCAACCATTCTATGATTCTATGAAATGCATTACTCATTTACCTGCCATAATAATACCATTTAGCCCGGTAGTGACGAAGGCAAGGATGTGAGTTTTTCCCCAGAAAAAGGGAAAACAGCAATAATGAACTTTTCTGCACTGTTGAGGTGAAAGAACTATTACCTCTACACTATTTTCTAAACAAACTGCATAGAAATTGCTCCCCCCAGTCACCAGTCCCATGGCTGATGCTGTCACAGATACCTGGTTCCAGCATGTTTTCTGTCAGCGTCTGGCGATTGAAAGGGTCGGTGGAAGAGTTGAGCAGGTGCCGCAGGATGATGGACCTGTCCATGATGGTTCCCGATGGCAACCTCACGGGGTCAGTCATCAGAGTGTCCATCAGCGGATCTGAGGGCACAAGTGTCTCCTCGTTACTTTGATGACAACAGCTACAAATTTTATCCACACACAAAAATACAGCACAATCCCAGGGAAAAAAACAAACAAAAACTCTTCGCTCTCTCTATTTACTTGACTATTTAACTGAAACAGAGCAGGATCCAAGGCTTCATAAATGATGCATAGATTCTATTTGTATTTACTCTTATTTAAGGTCGAAGTAACAAAACCAAGTCCCTCTTCTCCTAACAAGTCAGTATTTAGAAAACTCAACTTGCCTCTGAATTCGTCGGGAGCGTCGCTGTAGTCGATCTCTGCCCGGGCGTTCTTGGCAACAATTTCCTCCACCTTCTCTGCCAGCAGCTTGAATTTCTCTATTGCTATGGTCGACTTGATCCCAGCCTTTCTCATCTTGGAGATCACCTCCTCAAAGAGCTCTTTACTGTAGGACCTCTACAAGCAAAGCATAAAGAGACAACTTTGCTGAGCTGTACTATCCTGACACACCATAAAAATTCTAAAGATCTTTTAATGCGTTTTTTTTAAACTGCAGGAGGAGGGATCAATGAAACCTCAGCATTATGTCAGCCAGATAACATCTCATCTAGCAGCACAATGTCAACTTTGGGGTAGATTTATGGTTTTTTACTGGTCAGCACTACTGTGGAACTGTTCAGGACCCAAAAAAAAGAAGAAAAAAAAAAGGCAACATCACTTAATCAAAATGAATATGACACTTGGAGACTGACTATAATTATTAGGGTTGTTCCTTAGACAAAACATCTGTCGTGCCACTCCTAGCCGTGTTCTTGTTCTCTCAATTCTTGTCTGAAAACATAGCATAAAATGAAAAAAAGCCATCTGTGATTTCTTAACTTCTCTGACAACGTGCAAGGCAGAACTAGGAAAGAAGTGATTCTTGCTCCTAAAGCAACCAAAAAAAAAAAAAACCCCAACAAACCACCAAACAAAAAACCCAACCCGTGATGTTGCAGAAAATAGCCCAGTGGCTCGGCGGGAGCTGGCACTGGCTGGACCCCTGCCAACTGGTGCAGCAAGGACCATCAGCCACGTGGTGCAGCATCCAGAGACCCCCTGCATAGCCCAGAGCTTCAACTGGAGCAAGCCTTGCTTTCATGGAGAGAAAAAAAAAAGTTAGGCAAGGACTTTGGAAAGCTGCTTACGTTCTAAAGCAGTTCACAATGCCCTGTTTTGATATAAGGCTTTTAATAAAAATTGTTATTTCCGCTGCAGTGCGAGGCTGAATGAAATGACAACACCAAAACACACTAAGTCGCACAGATTTCTGTTTTCCTTGAGGATTTTCAAACGTTCAGCACAGCCCTGCTTCTTTCATCTACACTGCATCGCACCGAGAAATACCATTGACTGCTGGGGGCACACAGAGCCCACCCAAACTCCTGCCGAGCCCACAAAGGAGAGCAGGACTGTGGCAACACGCCCAGGGCTTTAGAAGAGTTTTCAGATTCCTGCTGCTACGTGTGAGGGTTTGCAAACGGGAGAGGTATCAAAATGCTGTAGAGAAACCCTGCCATGATCAAGCAACTTTTTGTTTGGTTTGTTTTCGGTTTTTTTTTTTCTCCTAATACCAGTAGCCATTAACCAACTGTGCATTTCCTTGGTGTTTCTTTCCTGTCATTGACAGTTTCCAAGATACTAGTCACTCCCCCCCCAACTTTTTATGAAGGGCTACTTTGTTAATTAAGCTTTATTGCAGTTCCCACACCAGCAGGCTGCTTTCTGTTTAATCCCTACGTCATCGCTGTGCATTTTGCTGCAGCCAGCGTCGATGGATGAACGATGGGTAACACTCTCACTTTCATACACACTGAACAGCACAGAAATTACACTGCTAAGGTCTGTTTGACAAGTGTTACTGATATTATTTGCAATTATCAGAGCTTAAATAATCACAGAAAAAAAAAAGAATTATCAGAGCTTAAATAATCACAGAAAAAGAAATGATGAGTTACTGATAGCTCTGCTTCACTCGACATGCAAATACAGCTCCATGTGTTGGAAACAGCTTCCACTGGAATTTCAAGGAGCCATCGAGAGCAATTTTTTCCCTCTAGATTTTGAAAAGTTTGTATTGTAAGACACAGGCCTGAACAGATGTTTTTGAAAAGTTTGTATTGTAAGACACAGGCGTGAACAGATTCAGCAGTTGGACAACTTCACAGGAGCAGAGGTGAGCGACAGCTTATCTACCTTAAGGATTAACATCCTGAGGAGTTCAAAGGTGTCTCACGTGCCTCGTGTTTTGT